GAAAGAAAGAAAGAAAGAAAAAAGAAAGAAAGAAAAGAAAGAAAGAAAGAAAGAAAGGAAAAGAAAGAAAGAAAGAATAGGAAAGAAAGAAAGAAAGAAAGAAAAGAAAGAAAGAAAGAAAGAAAAGAAAGAAAGGTTTTGATATAAAGGAGAAAATGACAAAATCAAAAAGAAAGAAATATTTTGTAATTGAGAAAGAAAATAAATTGGAAAATCACTAAAATGTAATTCGAAAAAGTAAGGCGGCCAAAGAAAGTAAAAATGGTTTGAATAAAGAAAAAGAAAAAAATGGTCAATTGAGAAAAACGAAAGAAATAAAGAATGAAAATTGGCTTAAAGAAAGAAAAAATTGGCTTGAAGGAAGGAAAAAAAAGGAAAAATGACTGAAAAAATTGCTAAAAGAAAGAAAATGAGAAAAAGCTCGTTTTAAAAAAGGAAAGAAAGAAAGGTAGCTTGTGATTTGGGATATATTCTTTAAAAGTAAATTACAATTACAATTTCAATAGAATATTCTGTGATATTTTCAATGACTTCTTTCTACTCATCCGACAGCTCTTTGATACCTTTTGAGTAAAATCCCGCAGGTTCTGAAGCGAAGATTTTCTGACGAATGTTGGAATCTAGTTTGCGTTAGAGAATCTTTTCCTTCATCAATGCGTTTTGCAGTGATCGAAAAATGTGATGATCTGTTGGTGTCAAATCAAGTAAATATGACGGCCATCAAACAGGCTAACCGTGTTCCATTTTTTTTTTTTTTTTTTTTTTTTTTTTTTTTTGTTATTCTAGCTCGAATACTGTTCTGCAAGGAGTCTATAGGAAGATCAATGTTCTAAGTTTGAATCTGCTAATCTGTAGTCGGTTTTCGTTGAAATTCTAAAATTATCTTAGGGAATTATTTCTTTGATCGGAAAGAACTGGTTTAAAATAAAGTTGTATATTATAGTAAGATTTTACACTTGGGTACTTGCAACTCATTTAAAACAGGAGCCGTGTCGAATTTGCTCAAGTATCTACAACACTGATTATTTCGAAACGAGAATCGTTGAAATTCATTGAAGCATTGTTGCAGAGTAGTTTCCACAGTGGAGGCTTGTATTTCACTCAGTCGGTCCTAAATTAGGTTCGACGTACAAAACGTTAGGAACTTGAAAATAATAGTTAATGACGCAGCAATCTAGTTGTGGTGGTTCATACCTTAATGTCCGACATCGACTGACTCACACAACTCACTGAGCTTTTCTGGCGACTGCTACTACTACTACTACTTAACTGTGGGAGAGTCTATTTACAATAGAAATAGGTACGTTCCGGTATAACAAATACAGCGTTGCCTTTTCATGGAGGAAAACTTTTCCTATTGACGCGCAGAAGGTGATTTTCGATCAAACCTTTCTGGACACGTTGCAGCTGTTGGACATATAAATGAGCATTTAGTTTTTCATTTTGTTTTACGAAATCTGAAAGAACCATACTCCGACGATCCTAACACACATGCAACAATACATGTTTTCCATGGAGCTTAGCTTTTGCTGTCGATTGTGGAATTTTATCCTTGTCAGTCCATTGTCGTTTGCGCTGAACATTGTCGTATATAACCCACTTTTCATCGCATGAAACGATATATTTAAGGAACGATTAGTCAAGATAATACATTCGTCATTCAGTTCATTTAATCCTCTGCGTTGAACATTGTTGTATGAAACCCACTTTTCATCACCTGTTTTGATATATTTAAGGTAAGGATAATTAGGATGATACATTCATCATTATAATTTGTTCGCCCCCACAAAGGAAATTCGCGTTTTCCTGGTTCTGTTTACGTGTGCCATCCTAAGCGTGTCCGTTACGATTATATTAAGAGGTAACAAAGCGGTACGCTATGGCTTCCCGCAATTTCCATCTGATTCGGAATAATTAAGTATTGTCTAGTATAAAGGATCTCCTTACATCATACCGTTGGAGCCCAATGTCCCAAATCTGCTCTGTTATTTTCTACCATTGACGACATCCAACATCTTGCTGTCGATGCCTTTGCTATGACCTTGGCAGTGGTGGTGAAGCTGGGGTGAGGGGCTTCCCTTTTCAGATTTTAAATTCAGAGTTGTTATTCTCCTAGACGGGTTTCCAACCAAGGTTAATGAGCCCAGTCTGAGCTACTTTTAATTTTGCCAATAAGCATTAAACAGAATCTTGCACATTTCTTTTTTTAAAAAAAAATACATTTTCATCCGAAGCAATAAAGCCACAAGAGGTTACTGGGTGTTAGAGATTATGAGATGAACTACTATTAAGGAGAGAGGACAATAAAAGAATAAGAAATACAATATGTTAAAGTAGGTTTCAACAGAGTCTGATTTTAAAGATTTTTTTATGTATGTATATTTAATCTTTGATTCCAAGTCCTTAATTTTTTCTGCATTTTCACTTTTCATGAATGGCAAATGCTTGGGGCTGTGGAGATATATTCACTCAAACCATGTGGTCATAAGTTTGGGTTTGTGTTCACGATGAAAAACAGAACAAACAAACAT